GGGGGGGAGGGAGGGGTGTGATATGTTAAAAAATGGGGCTAGCAGCTAAAAAATAAATACTTCTATGTCTCTGCTGTTGTGCTTCGCTTGTTGGTTCGAGCTTTGATCGAGAAAGCTCAAAAGCGTTCAAGCGTGTGATGGGTAGCCAGGCTAGCACGGGAGGCACTGGTCGCACACTAGGCCTTCGCGCACAAAAGTGTAGAGAGGCGTACAGCAGTACATGTCGCACCAATGGTGGTGCGTAGCAGCGTCTGTGTGTTGTTGGTGTCACGTGCCTCTCTCCGCGGAAAGAGACAGAGAGAGGCCGCTGCTGCTGCTGCTGCTGCTGCTGCTGCAACCAAATGTTGATCTCTCCTCTCGCTTCCTCCGCCGATAGCTAACAGCAGCAGAGTATGGCACACCCTTCTCCCGCCGTCTCGCCTTCGCTGTGGTCTGTGTCTCCCTCTCCCTGTTTGTCCATGTCTGGCTCTGTGTATGTGGTGTGTGGTGTGCGAGGCTATCTGTCTTGGTTCAAAATCAAACAACGCCTCCGCTCGGTGTTGTCTGTACGCCCTCTTATGCATACGACGTTGCGCCTCGTGTATGCACATGGGTACGATGGCATCTTGGGATATATATGCAGCTGATGAGGTCGCACCATTACATCTTCAAAAAATTGTCAAGGAAGTTCCCAACACGGCGCATGTATGTATGTGTCTATGTGTCTATGCACGTTCAGGGTGTGTAGGTTGTACACAAGTCTACAGTAGGTCATGTTCACCCTTGAAGCTCGTGTCATGCGAAACGCGTTGGTTCCGGAACAAAGCACAGATAGATTTGGGTGGGGACCCAAGGGTCTTGCCCCCCCCTACAAATTCACCGCTTCTGAGCAGAGAGCACGGTGTTTCAAAAGTTCAAGATGTCAACGTCGCCTGTAACATAGCGCCGCGTTTAGACGTGTGCCAATCAAACGACAAGCAGGTACGTACTTTTTTTACATGTCGCGTGAATGGTCCAATTATAACGTCATCGAAGGACACCGGCACGCCGACTTTTATCGCTCTGTTTCCCGTGTTCCAGGCATGTATGTAATGTGCTTGTTGTGCGGTCTGCTTGTGGTCATGTTCCATCGAATTAATCGACATGTAAAGGGTACAAGGGACGGAAGAGCTTCTCACAGCATGTGTGACCCCAGCTGAGTGACTGCTGTACGTCAAATGTGTACCATACCGAAAGGTGCCGAGACTGATACCAGCAAGATGTTGCTGACGTTGTAGCGTTTGTGTCTGGTCTCTGCTCAGCACCATGGTATGCATTACCTTCAAAGAGATGGGACGAACTAAATAACACACGTTACACACAAAACAGCGGCGTGCCTACTTTCAGCGAGGACCAACCGCCGGCGTCACGAGCCACACCTCTCGAGACCACGACGCACAACACAGCACGGGCCCGACGATGATGATGATCTTTGTCCGTACTGCTGTATCCTTCGTCCCAATAAAAAACAGGCACATAACAACAGGAAGGCGGGGGGATTGTCCTCCACAGGACAAGAGCTCCAACGAGAGAGAACGAGAGGAAGAAATCATCGGTAGGAGAGCCAGCGTTATCGCAATGCCGACGTCGGTCAAGTGTCCACGCCCCACCACCGCCGCCGGCGAAGGCGGCTCCGCCTGCAACATCAACAAGAAGCGGCGACGGAGACGGTGCTTCTCTGTGTCTCTCGAGCAGGCCGTGCCGGCCCCGCCGCCGTCGTCCGCGGCCTGCCGCGCCCACGCCGACCCTGGAACCTTGGCGGCAGCCGCCGGGCGGGTGGCGGCGCCAGCATCGGTCACGACAACAATGCTCCCGGCAAACGGCGACAGGGTTTCTGCCGCGTTCTGGGGGCGGCGTTCTTCTTCTTTCCGGTCGGCCGGGTGTCGGCGACCGCAGCACCATCGCACCGCCGGAGCAGCGGCCGCGTTAGCAGCGGCGGTGGGCGTGCTGGGAAGAGCGGCGACGTCGTTTGCGGCGGTGAGCGTGCTGGCTGTGGCCGTGACCTCCGCGCCTGTGAGCGTCGGGGCGCTCGTGACGGAGAGCCAGTGCGAGGTGGCGACCCTTCGGGGGACGGAGGCCGAGCTGGGGGACTCGCCTAGGCTGGACACGTCGACGGAGGCTGCGGCCGCGGGGGTCGACCAGGCCATCGTTGCCACGAATGTGTGTGTGTATCTTATTGCATCGACCGCGTTCACCGGCGGCTGGCCAATGAAAAGCCGCCAATCTCAGTGGATTTGAAACATAGTGTGTGTGTGTGGAAATTTGGACGGCTGGGAGTTTGCACCCGGGGTTGACAGGAGCGTTTTTCGTCGTGTTTCCGTTGTGACCTCTTGACGAGACGAAGTTGTCATTCGGCGAGATCGACGAGATGTACAATACCACCCTCGCAGAACAACTTTCGACCTTTCCGCTTCCAAGCCCCCCCCCCCCCCCCCCCCCCCCCCCCCCCCCCCCCCCCCCC